GACCTGCAGGAGCTAGTGACAATCAGCGACACTGTCTTCAAGGAACACAGCTATCGCAAAATGGCAGACCTTCCCAAGAATGATAGAATACAAGATTGCGCCGTCCTGGCCGTTGACATTTGTGTACCACAAGTAAGCAAAGAATAAGCGAAAAGAAGAACGAGTATAAACTGCCAAAACAGTTCAATTTACAGCGAAAAACGTGTTTTAATTTTGCTAATTGCGAAAATTTGCATTTTTCACCTAATCTTTTAGAGAATATGTAACGTTTTAGTGCACTCCATTGCTTTGCAACTGAGGCTGCTTCAGCAAACGTTTTAGTGCACTCCATTGCTTTGCAATTAAGGTTGCTGCAGAAAACTGCGTCAGCATCTCAGCGGGACTGATTAGTTAACTTGCTAATGGAGACTGCTTGGAGCAGAAGCAAAATCATTCTGAGGAAATGCAGTTAATATAATAAAAGGGAAACATTTAGGGAACGGCTTTGCCGTGCCCCATGTACACAAAATTCAGCGGTTGGTCCCAGCGCTACACTTGCATCTACGCTTCTTGCATCTTGACGGCTGTCGCAATTTAACACACAGCACTTCATTGTATTAGTTTTTACGAAGTCTTCAACTAAAAAATCACTCACAAATTGCAAATTAGCACAATTTAAACTGATTTTTTCACTTATAATTAAAATTTCTCTTTCGCTGATTTGTAAACAAAGGTTTATTTACAAGTTACCACAACGTTCAAAATCGGCAAAACCAAAGTAGCGGTATTACTGACGGGGCCACCTTTGTTCGCTGCACCGTGAGACCTTCCATGGAGTTTTGGTGTTGCCGTACGCTCTAGAAAAATTATTAGATGGTGAAATTTATGGCACGCTACCGGGTGCGGTATATGCCGAAGAATAAAGTATTTATGTTTTGTGCGGCGAACAGTAACCCATAACAAACCTGCTTCACTTCACGACTCGTCACAGAAGCGAACAGGAAAGAGGGTTAACTGTCTTCGCAAGGCGTCCGCAAGAGAATTAGGTGGTAAAATCACAAGAACGTTGGGCACGACTCACCCCTGAGATATAGAGTCCCAAAAAAAAAAGTATTTAGCCGGGCAAAACATTACTATCTCGGAGTTACGTCAGGTGACAGTTAGGGTTCGTCATACTCAGTATTGGTAGACTAATAAGTTTAGTTCTATGATACGGGACCACTGGAATTAATGCTTGAGCTATTTTCCGAGTCAGTATTCGCTTGTAATGCTGGGTGGATCAGTTTTGCATAGTCGGTCTACGGAA